GTGGCTGATTTGAGGAAGGCTGCTGCCAAGGAGAAGAGGAAACCGCTCATTTGCTACACTGCTGGGTTGGCTGAAGGAATCTGATGACAAATAGGCCGTGAGTTGCGGCTATGGCGACTACAGTTGATGGCTATTGGGTGGCCAGGCCATTTCAACCCACTCAGGCCTTCTCATCCCACCCAGGTAGGCCTCTGCGTTGTCAGGCCAACTCCCGTGCTGCTCCCTGTACTGTGTATAATGGCTTGCAACATGCTTGTGCAATGCTTTTATAGGCCATTCCATTGCAAGTCTGTATGCTTGATATACATTTGTGTTGTGAAGTTTTTTTGGTGAAGTGATTTCTTTCTTTGGCAAGTCTCATGGTCTGACTCCCACCTGGACAGTGCACACAAAGCTGGCCCCTGCCGAACAAACTGTAGGAAAATATTTCTGTCAGATGGAACTGTGCTATAAAGTGTGCGTTTGATTTGTAGAGAAGAGTTGGGCTACGGAATACCTTGTTCTGAAACAGTGCTATGCAAGGTCTCGTGTAGCACAGCAGAGATGGACCAGGGTTGGATGGAAGCTCTACTTATACCGTACAATGGTGTGATTGTGCCTTTTTACCCATTATCCATTGACAGTGGAAGCTACCGTTTTGAATTAAACATAGCTCCTTAAGACAGGACAGAAGGTGGAACCAAGACACAAATTGAGGTTATAGTGGAACTGACAACCAGGAGGTGCATCTTGAAAGGAAATTGGTTGGTGTCATGCCAAATGGTGACACGTGGTAGCATCTACGGGCAAGAACAAAGGGAACGGGCCGCCACTCGTGGGAGACACTCTTGCGCAGCAATGGAGTGTTGCTCAGCAGGATCTACTTGAGCTTGACTGGGCCTCTGCCAAGTGATGCACATAGGACGAGGTGCACTCTGTAGCATCCCAGCATGATGCACGGGCGCGTGTGGAACAGAGAACGGGAGTGAGGGGAGTAACGAACATGCGCAGCCGAGGGAAGATGGAGAGAGCTGCGGTGCATATCACACCATAGCACCTTGTCATGGCATGATACACTGGAAGAGGTGGAAAGGTGTGGGGTTTTGGGTGGTGGAATGGAGGGTAGGGAAGGAGGAAGAAACAAAGAGAAAAAAAATGACAGGTTGAAAGCGAGGTAAGGCGGGGGGAGGTGCAAGCTGCAGTGCACACCATAGCGCCCCGCAATGATGCACTGGAGACATGGGTTCTTGCGTAGGGGAATGGAGGGTAGGGAAGGAGGAAGGAACGATGAGGGACGCAATGAGGGAGGGAAAGCGAGGAGGGGGGGGGTTCATGCTGCAGCGCCCTGCCATGATGGGCGGGAGAGCTGAAAAGGTGTGGGTTGGTGGGAGGGATGAGGTGAAGCAGGGGAGGGAGGGCGGAACGAGTATGGGCAAGGGTGGTAGAAGAGAGCTGGAGAATGTAGCACCCAGCCATGCTGCGGTGAAAGAGGTGGGAAAGGTTGGGCAATGGGGTTGGGAGTAGGTGGAGAGAGCGAGGTACATGAAAGTGCAGAACTACAGGTCTCCTAGCTCTCTGGTTCAATTGTTGAGGCACTTCGAAAGGGGGGAAGATGAAGATGCACGAATATAGTCTCCTTTTTCCTACCTGGCTCCTGGTTCATAGCTTGTGCCTCATGCAACCATGGGAGGTGGGCACATACAGGGGCCGGGCAGGCAGTGACCTGCGAAAACTATTTAACACCAACCATTGTAGTGAGGGCCGAAGCCAATGCACGGGGGGGACTGCTATCAAGCGGTTGACGGCATGGGCTTCATTCGGCGTCCAATAGGATGGTCCAGTTCGCGGATAAAAACCAGACACCATTGTGCCAGCTGGGAATCGAAACCGAGTCTGCACCGTACTGATGGTGGGGTGCTATTCTAGCTCTTTATTAACAGTATAGTAAATGTACAATGCATACAAGGCAAATCCAGAGAGCTAGTCTAAAGAAAGATATGCAAGTTAGACCTATAGTGAGGCCTACTAAAAGGTCTCTGTGACGTCTCAGTGGTCCTCTCCCAAGTAAGCAAAGTCAGCTTTTAATAGAGAAGTCACCTCGAGTGGTGTGTGGTTGATGCCCTTGGTAAAACAAAGTTGGGCCTAGGGGGCCGAGGGGCCAAACAAGGGGCCGGGGGGTCGGGCGAAGGGCTCTGAGTTGGGGCCGAGGGGCCTAGGGGCCGCGGGGCCAAACAAGGGGCCGGGGGGCCTAGGGGGGGGGACGAGGGGCCAAGCACACGGGGCCTAGAGGCGGGGCCGAGGTGCCAAACAGGGGGCCGGGCGCCGGGCTTTGAGGTGGGGCCGAGGGGCCTAGGGGCCGCGGGGCCAAACAAGGGGCCGGGGGGCCTAGGGGGGGCCGAGGGGCCAATCACACGGGGCCGAGGGGCGGGGCCGAGGGGCCAAACAGGGGGCCGGGCGCAGGGCTCTGAGGTGGGGCCGAGGGGCCTAGGGGCCGCGGGGCCAAACAAGGGGCTGGGGGGGCCTAGGGGGCCGAGGGGCCAAACAAGGGGCCGGCGGGCCGGGCTCCGGGCTTTGAGGTGGGGCCGAGGGGCCTAGGGGGCCGAGGGGCCAAACAAGGGGCCGGGGGGCCGGGCGCCGGGCTTTGAGGTGGGGCCGAGGGGCCTAGGGGCCGCGGGGCCAAACAAGGGGCCGGGGGGCCTAGGGGGGCCGAGGGGCCTAGGGGGCCGAGGGGCCAAACAAGGGGCCGGGGGGCCGAGGGGGCCGAGGGGCCAAAAAAGGGGCCGGGGGGCCGGGCGAAGGGCTCTGAGTTGGGGCCGAGGGGCCTAGGGGCCGCGGGGCCAAACAAGGGGCTGGGGGGCCTAGGGGGGGGGCCGAGGGGCCAATCACACGGGGCCTAGGGGCGGGGCCGAGGGGCCAAACAGGGGGCCGGGCGCAGGGCTCAGAGGTGGGGCCGAGGGGCCTAGGGGCCACGAGGCCAAACAAGGGGCTGGGGGGGCCTAGGGGGGCCGAGGGGCCTAGGGGGCCGAGGGGCCAAACAAGGGGCCGGGGGGCCGGGCTCTGGGCTTTGAGGTGGGGCCGAGGGGCCTAGGGGGCTGAGGGGCCAAACAAGGGGCCGGGGGGGCCGGGCGCCGGGCTTTGAGGTGGGGCCGAGGGGCCTAGGGGCCACGAGGCCAAACAAGGGGCCGGGGGGGCCTAGGGGGGCCGAGGGGCCTAGGGGGCCGAGGGGCCAAACAAGGGGCCGGGGGGCCGGGCTCCGGGCTTTGAGGTGGGGCCGAGGGGCCTAGGGGCCGCGGGGCCAAACAAGGGGCCGGGGGGCCTAGGGGGGGCCGAGGGGCCAATCACACGGGGCCGAGGGGCGGGGCCGAGGGGCCAAACAGGGGGCCGGGCGCAAGGCTCAGAGGTGGGGCCGAGGGGCCTAGGGGCCGCGGGGCCAAACAAGGGGCCGGGGGGGCCTAGGGGGGTCGAGGGGCCTAGGGGGGCGAGGGGCCAAACAAGGGGCCGGGCTCCGGGCTTTGAGGTGGGGCCGAGGGGCCTAGGGGGCCGAGGGGCCAAACAAGGGGCCGGGGGGGGCGGGCGCTGGGCTTTGAGGTGGGGCCGAGGGGCCTAGGGGCCGCGGGGCCAAACAAGGGGCCGGGGGGCCTAGGGGGGGCCGAGGGGCCAATCACACGGGGCCGAGGGGCGGGGCCGAGGGGCCAAACAGGGGGCCGGGCGCAGGGCTCTGAGGTGGGGCCGAGGGGCCTAGGGGCCGCGGGGCCAAACAAGGGGCCAGGGGGGCCTAGGGGGGCCGAGGTGCCTAGGGGGGGCCGAGGGGCCAAACAAGGGGCCGGGGGGCCGGGCGCCGGGCTTTGAGGTGGGGCCAAGGGGCCTAGGGGCCGCGGGGCCAAACAAGGGGCCGGGCGCAGGTGTCGTCGGGCTGGGGCTAGGTGCGGGGCCGGGCGCTGGGCGAGGGATTGAGCCGGGCGCGGGCGTTAGGTACGGGGCCGGGCGCTGGGCTAGGAACGGGGCCTAGCGCGGGCTAGGTACGGGGCCGGGCGCGGGTGTCGACGAGGTGCTGGCTAGGTACGGGGCCGGGCATGGGTGTCGACAGGGCGCGGGCTAGGTAAGGGGCCGGGTCGCGGGCTAGGTACGGGCTGGTCGCGAGCGTCGACGGGGCGCGGGCTAGTTACGGGGCCGGGCGCGGGTGTCGACGGGGCGATCGCGAGCTAGGTACGGGGCCGGGCCGCGGGCTAGGTACGGGCCGGTCGCAGGCGTCGACGGGGCGCGGGCTAGGTACGGGGCCGGGCGCGGGTGTCGACGTGGCGATCGCGGGCTAGGTACGGGCTGGGCACGGGCGTGAGAAGGCACGGGCCGAGGGGCCAAACACAGGGGCCACCGAGCGCGGGCTAGGTACGGGCCAGGCGCGGGCAGGAGACTGGGCCGGTCGCAGGCTAGGTACAGGCCTATCGCGGGCGCGGTACGGGCGGGGCGCGGGGCTAGGAACGAAGTAGCAGTTGGTGGGCCCAATAGTAACCTACTCTAATACCATGTTAGAGAGTAGCGAGAATGACGAGAATGATTTACTAGGAAGGGGTGAAGGGTACAAGTACAATGTCGAGAGAAATTGTATACCCCCTAAGGCTAAACCCACTATAGCCTAGACAAAACACATAAACACATATGTTTGACAGAACCTCCCACAGTGCTCCAGCCACCGCATCCCGCACCTGCCCATGCTGGTCTTCATCAAAGTGGGGATCCCGGGCCACGACCTCCCGCTCCTGAAGGGCAACGTAGAGGAGCTCCAGCACAGTTGCCGAAATCGTCACACAGTGGCCAACCTCAGTCAATCGCCTCCCACGGGTGCGGTAAGCTCCTTTGCTTGGCCGCGGCTCACCCCAGGGAGGGCTCGGAGGGCCCCAGTTTGCATCGCGCGGCCAGTGCGGCCACAAGACCCCCCACCAACCCACATCTGGGTTGCGAGGGTTGCCTGGCACCTTGTCATCGTTCCAGTAGCCGCGGGAGAGGCCAGGCACCGGCTGATGCTACGGGAACAGCGGGAGAGCAGGATGAGGGAGAGCAGGGAGATGGCAATGTCCGAAAGGTGAGCGGCAGAAAAGGCAAGGCACCACGAGGCAAGCAAGGAAGGGATGACAAGGGGGCCAACTCACAAATCCGAACCGCAATAGAGAGATGAGACCCTGACACAAGGGGCTGCTGGCGACGACACAGGCAAGGAGGGGGAACTCCAGGAAGAGGGTCCCGGAGTGCGGGAGGAGCCGACGCAGCTTGCTCCGCTTGGGGTTGTTGAGGTGCGGGCGGAACAACGGGAGGTGGCACTGGCGAGGGCGTCAGAAGAGACAGAGGGGGTGGAGGCTACAGGGATGACGGTAAGCAGAGCTCTAGTGTGGCATCCGACTGCGAGGCGGAGGGCTGAACAACAGCAGACGGAACAGGCGCTGGCTGAGGCAGCAGCTGCGCGAGAATCGACGCACACGTCGGCAGAGAGGGTGCCAATACCTGCTCAGGTAGGGGCGGCCGCGAGGAAGGAACCTGGGGTGCAGACAACACCGGCGCCGACGATGAAGGCTGCTGTGACGATGCAGACTGTGACTGCGACAGAGGCGGGGGAAGCTGCAACGGCTGGGACTGGGCTGCAGGAACAGGAAGTTGCGATCCATGGCAAGCTTGGCCAGAATACGGCGGACGTGGCGAACGGCGGCGATGGAAGGACTGGCCGCGCGCTCGAAGATGAGGATGGGTCTGACCGCGAAGGGAGCGATACACGGGCTCCCTCGACCTCGCCGCCACATTCGACGATGCTACAGGTGCGGCACCAGCCCCGGCCGACAAGCAGTCCATGGTGGCTCGGAGCAGGGCTGGCACCTGTCTGCCCTGGACCCCTTGTGAGTTGGGCACAGCAGGAGACCCCACCACGATCACATCACGTCGAGGGGACCGGCGCTTGCCCGTCATCAGGTGAAACGGATGAGGCCAGCGGGCCACACGAGACGGATGACCCGCAGGCAAAAGAAACAGAAGTTGCACCGGCCCAAGAGAAAGAGGAATGCTTGGCCATGATCGAACAGTTACGAGGAGGAACTGCACGGCAGAGGCTGCTGCGAGAACGCGCAGCGGAAGCGGCGGCGGGAAACCCGCCAGCAAGAGCGCAGGGACGAGCGCAGGATGTGCCAAGAGGATGAGGCGGGAGAGGCGCACGCGGAAGGGGGGGACGAGGGGGCCTAGAGGCAGTTGTGGCTAGGGAAAAGGCCAGATCTGGTGTACGTGGACAACATTCTTCTCTTCAGCAGCAGCATGAAGGAGATCCAGAAATTGCAGTAGCAGCTGATGAAGAACTTCAAGTGCAAGACCCTTGGGGAGGTAAAGTACTACCTCGGGATGCACGTGGAGAGGGATCTCGATCACAGGTGGTTGAAGCTGCACCAGGAGAAGTTCATCAAGGAGCTAGGGGAGAAGTATGCGATTGAGAATGAGCGCAAGGTTGCAACTCCCCTGCCAGCAGAATTCAAGCTTGTGAAGGCAGCAGAGGATGAAGGGGTTGAAGCCGAGGAGCAGCAGCAATTTCAGTCCTTGGTAGGCAGCCTCTTGTATGCCGTTCATACGAGGCCCGACGTCTCTTTCTCGGTTGGGCAGCTGGCTAGGGTGGTGCAGAATCCATCAGAGGAGCAGGTGGATGTAGCTGAGCGTGTGGTGAAGTACCTGAACTCTCACCCAAGCATTGGAGTTCAATACTCCGCATCTGCACAGGTGAAGCAGAAAGGGGTTGAGGTGCTGAAAGAGAAGGGGGAGCGGCTTGGAGAAGGCAAGCTGTTTCTTACTTGCTTTACCGATGCTACGTGGGCTTCTGAGAAGGAGGATTCCTCATCTGTGGAGGATACATCTGCGTAGTTGGGGGAGGACCTGTTAGTTGGAGGTCCAAGAAGCAGACGGAGACGGCACTCTCCTCTGTTGAATCAGAGTACATGGCAATGTTTCATGGGGTGAATGAGGTGATTTGGCTGAGGAGGCTGTTAGAGGAGATTGGCCAGGAGTAGAAGGTTGCTACGCCGCTGTTTTGTAATAGCAAGGGGGCTCTTGGGATGGCCAGGAACGCTGCGCTTCATGGGCTGAACAAGCACATGCGTATCAAGTGGCACTGGCTGCGTAAGGAGGTGAAGAGGGGGACGGTGAATCCGATCTACATCAAGACTCACCAGCAGCCAGCGGACTTCCTCACCAAGAGGCTTGCGGATGAGCCTCATTGGCGTTGTGTGCGCATGAGTGGAATGAGCATAAACTAGCATGGAATGTTGGGGATGCAGCCGGCAGGCTGAGGGGGAGTGTGTTGGGTGCAAATTCACATTGCACGACATCCTGTCGTCTGTTTGTACGAGTATGCGTGTGCGAATACATTTGGGTGTGAATGGAATGTTCGTGTGTTTGTTTGCTGTCGCAATTTTCGCTTGTTGCATTTGCAGGTACTCGCGCAATGTGCGCTTCGGCATAACATTTTACGTGATATGAACAGTGCAAGTAGAAAGGACGAGCTCGCAAAGGAACCCAAGATGGAAGCTTTGCAGTTCGGTTGAATTGATTGCGCAGATTCAGTTCTATCCAACTCGAAATTGTACTGTTTTGTTTGGTTGACTATAGTGTAGCAGGGCAGGCACTATAGGGGTACAATTTTGGTGAAGGTTGGATGTTGTTTGTCTGTATCTGCATGCTACAGGGCCAGGGGAAACCAGCGGAACCAGCATTTGGCTGGTTGGGCAAAGACAAAACAGGTTCTGTTTTTAGGACCTGAACCTGGTTGTTGTTTTCCCAAGTTGGAAAAACAGAACCAGAGGTTGTTTACCAACCTACCACCTGCTGTTTTGTCCAGCCAGGTTGGTTCTGTTGCTTGGAATTATTTGGGATCATCCCTGGTTGTTCCCAGGTTGATTCCCAAGGTCCTTGCTAGCTAGAACTATATATTCCTTCTCTGTTTGTACCTGAACATAGTCAAATTGATTCAAGCGAATTCCTTCCTTGCTGGAATTCCGTTTCTACGCGGTGCGACGGCGGAATGCTACCGAGTCAACGCTAGAATGCTAGCACTACGACGCTAGGCCAACGCTATCCAATTCGTAACGCTGCAATGGCAGAACTTTTCGCGAGGCAACTTGGCTCTTTTGAAAGCTCTTAGAGTGAGCTTCGATATAGCGACTTCTCAGCTTAATCTGATCGACGGTCTGCACGGCACACTGCGCAACGTTCAAGGTATTCTTGCTGCTTTGACTAAGTCCCTCTCGATCCCTCTCTCTACAAACTCGGACCCGAGGATAGGGGCTGGTCTTGTACCAAGCACCCAGGGACCCTTGGAGGTGACCCCGAGGAGAGGTTTTAAGTTAGATAACGTCTTAATAGCCTGAGTTTATTAGGACCTTACTCTAACAGTTGGCATATACGCTGGACTTCCAAGGCGTATTGCATTTGTATGCTAGCGTAGAAACGCAAAAACGCGATACGCTTGGATTATGGGTGGGCAGCCCATCGAATAAAAATAGAGCTAGAAACGGGAAGTTCTCGGATTACGACGCAGAACAAAGTGTTGGATGTCGCGAACTCAATTTGGGCTCCCAAATTTTGATTTCGAAAGTTGTACAGCATCCAACCGCATTGAATTGCAGCATACCTCTCTGATCCAACCCATCCACCCCCACCAAGAAATCCACGCACACAAAGCAGACACATATACAAGGTGAGCTCCAGATGTATCATTAGCAATCATGACGAGAATGAACCTCGAGCTCGCCGCCATGGATCTCCTCAGGGTTTTCAACCCAGCGTTTCGTGAAGCCAACATGTCAGTTGATCATGTGGACTACATCCTTATACTAGCGTTGTCGCGACAAATCGATTGGTACACCTCTTATGTCCATCAGGCGGACATCGTAACTTTCGATTCTCGGGATCTGCTGTTATGGTTTCATGAATTAACCAGTTTCAAGGCATCACACGCTGTTCTTCTGAAGCTTATCCAGAGCTACCATTACAAGGCTAACGCTCAGGCTTAGGATTGGTTAACTATATTTCAAGCGGTTCTCAAGGTTCAGGGATTTCACCCGTCGGTCTCCTCAGCGGAAACTCAGCATTTGCATCACGAGCAGAAAGTTGTTGAAAGCAACCTACAGCTCCTACTTAAGAATGTGCTCAGACACCCAGCAAAGCAGGCGTTTCTGGCCTTTGCTTTATCACCTCTGCTGGTCTTCCATCATCATTGCACGATGCCGCGTGCTCCGCGAAAGGAGAGAGCGCCTCTGCCGAGGAAGCAGAGTGCTTCTAATGTGGTCAAACCTTTTGCTGACAAAGGGAAAGAGGTGGAGAATGATGAGTCTGCTGAAGTGATTTATACGGAAAGAAGCCGCTCTGGCTTATCCCTGGAAGAGAAGCTGGCTGCGCTTACCTCCGCTCGTGCTGAAGAAGAGGACTTCACGGATGATGACTCCGATGACGAACTTGACTTCGATGTCACGAAGGACCTGGTTGCCAAGCAGCGGTTCACAGCTATTCTGCTGCTTCCCTTCATCCTGCAAAAGGAAATGGCCGCTGTTATTTCGACTGTGCGATTGATGTTAAAGCGGTTCTGGTCTTCCTTATTGTCTGACGGAGCTAACACCCAAGTAGACTTTCAGGACCTGCTTCCCGCTTATGTTGCAAAAACGAAGTACAGCCGCCTACAAGTCTCATTCCTGAAAGAAGAAGATGCGGTGAATGTGCGTCAGGCGGCATTGGAATATCAGTGTGCTAATGGTCCGACACTTAAACTTCATTGGCTGCATGTTGAAAATGCTGCTTTCACCAAGACAAAAGCGAACAACCCGCGTGCTGTGGAAGTGGTTTTTAAGGGTGTACCTGTGAACATTACTCTCGAAGGGCTGGAGGAGATGTTGGTGAAACACAAGCTGAAGATTCGCCTGGTCACTCCGTTCCTTGAGGGACATTGCTTCCACCGAGTGCTCCACCCGAGTGCTAACACAGATGTGATAAAAATGTTAGTCATTCCGCACCAGGAGAAGAAGCGTCGTTGGATCCACCAAATTAATCACCCTCTGGAGCAGGGCAAGAAGCTTCTGGTTCACTACCCCGTGCTCTCTTTTCAGCTCTGTGGGGGATGGCATTATGACAAGTATCATGATGTCTTCATTACAGAGCGACAGAATAACATAGGGAAGTGGAGCTTAAGTTTAAGCCGTGTGCATAGGATCAATGGTAACGGAGTTGCGGAGTTTTCAGCAGGTGTTATTCGTTTACCTTTTCTTATCGTCACTAACCCTCTGGTCGCCTGTCGCAGCCGCGT